GTCAAAAAATAAATGAAATAAAATACAGGAAAAAAAGGGGATACATACAAGTGCATCATGAAAAAAAAAGAGAATCAAAGAATTTTAACACAGGGAGGAGCTTACAGATCATTCCACCCAGGGCTTCCCAGTGAGCACAGCACATTCGTTTGGGGAGAGGGTCCCTGTTGAAATCTACCTGGGAAAACGGACTACTGAATTCTATACTTGGAGCGTCACAAGGCACATCAGTCTGCAAAGACTCAGAAAGTCCTGCAACAAAGACATGCTATTGTGCTACACACTATTTACCAAATGTATTAGATGTATTTGACCATGACCTTCTCTGATCTCTTTATTTTTTCAATGAGCATTTATGGGCACCGGAGCCGTACAACAGATCATGCAAGTTCAGTGACATGTCCAAAGTCATGGACGGAGCTCTGGTGCCAGAGGTGGTACAAGATGTCATAAATCTGACACAGACTGGCCTTGGAGGTCTTGGGCTGAGGTCATTGGCTTATAAACCCTTTTGCTGGACTAAGTTTTGCCACACATCCTGAATGATGTTATTTCCACGTTGTTTCTGATTGGCCATGTTGGGTTCTGAGCGTCAGCATTCACGTTCCCTGGCCTTTGGTAAATACAAAAGGAACTTCCATTGAAGAGGGCTCTCACTGTTGTTAAGTCTAAAATGGGGAGTTTATGCTGACGTGATGGCTCAGCGGTCTCAGATATGTATACCTCTTTTCTCTGGCCACGGCCACTCAAAGCTGAGAGTTCGGGAAAGAGAAATGAATTTGGGAAGAACGCAGACCATCAAATCTGAAATTAGGATACTAATAATACTAATACTAACTACTGTAGAGCACTTAGTTGGTGCCAGGCACTGTTCTTACTACTTCACATACATTACCTCATTTAATTATCGCAACACTCCCGGCCTAGGTACTATTAGCACCCCCACTTTACAGAGGAGAAGACTGAGGTACTAAGAAGTAACTTAGGCGCAGTGTCGCATGCTGGTACATTGTAGAACTGGGACGTTGGCTCAGTCTGACGTCCGAGTTACTGCTTTGAACTACCATGTTACGAAAGGAATAATAGGAATAATAAAAGGAACACCCAGCCTTTCTGGCCTCATCTGATGTGCCCAATCATCATTCCACAAGTCCCTCTGACAGCCCCATGAGGTCCTCTCTCTTGCTATGATGCCAGTTCTACAGGTGAGGAAACTGAGGCACAGAGAAGTCGAGCATCTCCCCCGAGTCATGCCATGGTGGGTGGGACATGGCCGCAACTGACTGCCGCCCAGGTCCTGAGCTCCTAACCTCCAGCAAGTTCTTACAACACACTCTCAAGGGTGTTTTTTTTTTTTTCCTTCTCTTTTTAATCTTTGTGGTCATTTCTGTGAACAGCAGTGTTTTCACAGGAGAACCCAAAAAGAAACAACAACAACAAAAATCAAACCCATAAGAAATACATTTCGGCTATAAAAACCCCTGGGTGAACTTGAAAAAAGAAAATAAACAATTATGCAAAGGCTGAACGAGCACTATGAACTTTTTTCCCTTTTACGTTTATTGTACATTCAGTAAAGAGGAAACGTTATCCCAACAGATACAGATCTCAAACCAGGGCGTTGCGGGGCGACGGCTCTGCGGAAGTTTCTGGAAGTTTATGAGATTTGGTATAAGACCTAGGAGGAGGTGTCCAGCTTATCTGGTGCTTGCTCTGTGACCGTACACAAGCCAGTCCTCAGTTTACTCATCTGTAAAATGACGGGGTGGTCCCTACTTAGGTTCTTTCGCTTCTACATAATTATAGTTTTAATTCTGAGACAGGAAAAGACCCATTTCAGCTTCTAAACATGAGCCAATTTCATGCCAAGTCAGTGTGTTCAGGCCTCAAACTCAGTCCATCTCCGTCTCCCTGTTCATTCCCTTCTTCATCTGAAACACCAAGCTCGACCACCGCCTTCTATTCTGAAATGCGCACGTAGTAGTTTGAGAGTTTATTTCTCCTCTGGAGCAACTTGAAAAAAACGTTAATAGGAAGCACATGGGCATGGTGTGAGAGTGTTCTGTGTGTTTGCGTTTGAAAAAAAAAAATACTTAAGGAGGAATATGTCAAGCTTGCAGAATGCCTGGGCTGTCTCAAGAGCAGTTTACAGCCATTAGCATCAGGCTGAAGGCACTTAATTGGGACAAAGTCCAGCTGCTGCCTTGGCCCTCTGGCACCTTGGCCGTACGGAAGATAAGAAAATAACCTGGATTATTCTCATGGTGGTGCGGGCGGGAGACAGAGCAAGAGATGTTTTTCCATTTGTGAGGGGCTGGCAAGGATTGAGGTGGGGGGTGGGGTCTAGGCCAGGGCTCAGCCATGAAGAATCATCTTCTAGAAGGATCTAGAAGAGTTGGAGGGCATGATGGTGTGGCAGTTATGTTCCTAGGCTCGGGAGTGCAACTGCCTGGCTTCAAATCCCACTATCATAGCCATGTGACCTGGGCCAACTTACTTTACCACTTTGTGCCTCAGTGTCTCCACCTGTAAGATGGGGATAATAATAGAACCTATGTCATAGGGCTCTTGGGAGGATTAAGGGGAGTGGGACACACGCAGATCTTAGGAGTCCTGAAAAGATCCAGGAACTCGCACGAGGAGGATCAGTGCAGGCTCTGGAATTCTAGAAACCCCAGTCGGAATCCCAGCTCTGAATACTTATTGGCTCTGTGATCTTGGGCAAGTCGCTTCCCCTCTCTGAGCCTCATTTTCATCATGTGTAAAGCAGAGCTGATGGTGTCCACCTCCCATGGTTGCTTTAAGGACCAGAGAAGAAATAATATTATTCTGCATCTCCTGGGCCAAGGAGGGCTCCTGCTTCACTTTCCAGTGTCATCTCCCCACTCACTCCACCCAGGCTCATGAGTCTCCTTTTGAGTGCTTGGACACTGTGAGCCTTGTCCTGCCTCAGGGCCTTTGCTCTTGCTGTTTCCTCTGCCTGGATCATACTGTCTCCAGCTGCTCACATGTCCTTTTCATCACTCAGGTCTCCGTAGCCACCTGGGTCATGTCCACCACCATCCTCCTCATCACTGCCCATCACACTGCCCTGTTTTTGTCTCTCAGGAGCTTTATCAAAATCTGTAACCATCTATTTATTTGTTAATTGATTATCGTCCATCTCCCCAAAAGGGAACTGTGTGGACTGCTGTGCCTCCAGTACCTAAAAAAGTGCCAGGCATACAGCTGGTGCTCAATAATACAGAATGAATGGATAAATGGATGGGGAGCCACTCCTACCTAATTTAAGTTACTTATTACACAGCGGGGCAGGGAGAGGGTGTGTGATGGGGGAGGGTGGACTATGTTTGCATTTCTACCTCTGTAGCTTTAGAAGCCCTGAGGCAGTAAGTTCTGTTTCTATTGGCAGAGCTGAAAAAAAACTGGCTTGAGATTGACCCAAATGCATGTTCAAGTTCAGTGTTTTCATAAGTCTTTATTATCGGGATTGGTGCCATAATTCACTCCCCAGTTGGAGATGGGCCCCAGCCTCTTATCACCTGCAGTGGGCCTCAGAAGGGCCACTGGGGGATCACAGAAGTGGCAGCAGAGGAAGACAAGGTAGAATAGCGCATCACACAAAGCATGGTCTTTTGGGGAGGATGGGGGTTGGGAGTCTACCAGACCCCGAAGAGACTGGATTCAGTCCATTTCCCATTGCATTTGTACCTCAGTCATTCCCGCTACGTCTCAGTCTTCTGTCCCATAAAACGGAGTGTCATGAAGATTACATAAGATGATCTAGCAACATCAGGTAGCATGTGGTCAACGTTAGCTGATGGTGTCACCCACAAACTCTGACGCAGACCTTTACACGGAAGCTACTCCAAGTGCTGGGCACTGATGCCTGTCACAGCCTTTCCCTCACACGCCCCTAAGATCATTTGCCGCCCCTTCACAGTGTTTTTCTCCTGAAAGGCTGCACTTGACATCCATTTTTACTGTTTCTTTAACTAAAAAGGTGAAGCGACAACACTTGCAAATAGTTTTTTAGAAGAAAAGTACAATCACTCATTAGCCCACCATCCTGTCATTCCCCCTTCGGTTTTGCATATTACTTTTCAGGCCCTTGGTGGTCATTTTTATCAGCTTTCATGAAGGCAAAAAAATACCAGGATGAGGATTCCCAAAGGTACTGCCATGGGCACTCTGCTCCGTGCATCAGCTCCAAGATGCTCCCAATGGAGCAATGGGGAAGAGAAGGGGCCCACGGATGGTAAAAGGGTGAAGGTGGGCACAGGAGAGTCCAGCGAGCCATCTTCTTAGAGTACATGAGGTGGGAGTTATACACTGGAAATCTGTTTTCCCTTTCTAAGCTACCCTATGGGGCTGCAAAGCCTCAAACCTCCTGCCTGAAATAATAGCTCCTATATTTGCCTGTCCCATATCCCCACCACCCAGCATTTCTCAGAGTCTACAAGTGTCCCATCACACTTTAAATCAGCCCTCAAGGCCCCGTGCAATTCAGCCTTGCTCTCTCTCTCCCAGGACGCTCTCCTTACACCATCTCCCTGACGGTTCCAGCCTCACTGGCCTTTGGTCTGTGCTTCAGAAACTTCAAGATATTTCCCTCTATTCAGCTTTTGCACCAACTGCTCCCTCTGCCTGGAATGCTCCTCCCCCAGGTCTGCACATGGCTGGCTCTGCCTCACCCCTTGGGACTCTGTCCAATGTCATCTCTTCAAAGAGCCTTCCCTGATGACTCTATCTAAAGTTACGTATCTCACCCCTCTTGACCGGCCCCCCACCCCCCAACTTCTCATCACTCGCTATCCAAACACCATGCTTATTTGCTTCACTGCACTCAAATCCTCCCAAATGAGCTGGTGTATTTGTTGCCTTGTGTATCATCAGTCTCTAGAGGGCAGATCGCACATCTAGTTTGTTCGCTGCTGTAACTCTGCTACTTGAGATAGATCCTGCCACACAGTAGGTGCTCAGTACACCTTTTAAATAAATGAATGAATGGCCGGACACCCAACTCAGGCGATACCTGAGGGAGGGGCCGCAGCGCCACACTGACCGTGCATCTGGTAGGTGTACGGGCTCTGTCCAGTGGGTGGGGTGCTGAAGCTGGAGCCGTAGCTGAGGAATCCACTCTGGCCGGGGGAATGGTTCAAGCTGTCTTCTGTCTTGATGCCTTGGGTGGAGGAAGAAGCAGCACCAGACAAATGATTAGGATGCTTCCTTGTCACCTGCAGAAGTGCTATGGAGTCAACACAGCATGCTGTTTCATCAGCTTCCAAACTAGGCGGCTTGTGAGCTGAAGTTAGCCTACGGACATGTTTTGCTAGGCCTGCATACGTTTAAGGAAAATCTAATATTAATTGCTTTTGTTTAAAAATCAGGAGATGTCACACCCAAAAAATCTGGACTTA